GCACCCCAGGGCTCAGCTGCTCAGTCAGCCTGGGCCCAGTTGGGTTCTGAGACCCCTTCGTAAGTTGGCCTCAATGTGGACAGAATGCTTGGCATAGCTAACAGAAACTACAACTATTGAAAATGTTAACAACCTGGCTTCCTCGCCTCCGGGATGCCTGTACCTGGGGGCCACAGACCCACACCCTTCCCTCCCACCTGCTGAGCTTGGAGGCCCTGACCTCTTCCTCAGGGTAGTGACACAGACTGCAGGGGCCCCTCCCTACTCCCGAGGGGTCCTCGGGAGACACCTCATATGAACATTGTACCACAGGGCCAGCCTGGTCTTCTGCTAATGAGAGACCACTCTGCCCTAGGACTTCCTTCACAGGCCACTGCCCACCTCCGTGACGTTCCTGTATGTTAGTGGACAAGGGCAGAGGTCCAGACGTGTTGGGAGCATCTGACCCCGACTGTTTTAGTCTTACTTTTTGGTTGACAAGATGGCCACTGGCCAGGATGTGTGAGGAATCAGACATTTGAGTTGTGAGGGACTGAGAGCACACGCCTAGCTCTCTATTGCCACAGACACCAGGCACCTTGAATTTACTGTACACCACAGCTCTGCTGGCTTTTCTCTTTAGCAGAAGTCAGATTTGCACCCCAAGGCCACACAGCTCTTAACCAATATTCCAAGTTTGCGCACCTGGGCATTGCAAGGTTTCTAGGTTTCTAGGATGACAGTTCTTCCACGAGATTTCTGGGGTCTGCTGGCAATGGTACTGCACAACCCACCCAGCAAGTGGAAGGCTGTATCATAACAGACCCTTGAGTTTCTTCAGGAACTGTCACGTGGAATTAGCCTGCAGGAGGACTCGGAGGTAGCCAAGACATGTCGGCAAAAGCTGTAGTGTACTTGGATTTTTCAGGGGTCTTTGGCAAGCTTCTGTGCCCTCCCCCCCAGTTTTCCTTTCTTTGAAAAGATGGAACTGCTTCACCAGCGCTTGGGAGGGCTGCGACGCTCGGGCACGCGTGGAAGCCCATGGGGAGGGGACGGGCTCTTGGTGATGGCAAAGTACTTTTCCTGATGGAGAATTGTGAGCAGTAGAGGCTCCCAGGCAGAGGGGGGCCACGACCAGCGCAGCTCTCAGTACTCCAGAGGGAGGACAGTGGAGGATGAAGAAATGAAGATGAGAATCAGAAAGCTGCGGTCAGGGGGAGCCCTCTCCTGACAGGAGAAAGCACAACTCCATGACTGCAGTGTGTTTACTTACACAGTCAGCACCAAGAGGCTGCTCACAGAGAGACTTAGGGGGAGGGTAGGATCTGGAGCGAACATCTGCTCTTCTACAGTTCGTGCCTTGTGGTTACACAGGGGATGAGAGACACGGTGTCTGTCTTCTTGCAGGGCAAGGCCGAGTCACTGCGCAGCAGCTCCCTCAGCTGCATAAACTGCCCTTAGGGCCCTGCCGAACTCACAAGAAACAGCAACCTTTCCAGAGACCCAAGGCACAGACAGCTCCACTCCCAACAGAGGGCTTGCTTCCATTTAATGAAAGATCAGGGGGGCCAGTGAGATAGCTCAGCAGACCGAAGCGCCTGAGTAAGCAAGCACCACATTCCATGCCAGCCCAGCCCCAGGGCGAGCTGATCTGGCCAAAGTCCTGGTGTGGTGGCACACACCTATAATCCCAGCACTGGGGAGGCTGAAAACAGGATTACTGCAGTCCAAGCTGCATAGTGAGACCCTGAAACAACCACATATACAGAGAGAGAGAGAGAGAGAGAGAGAGAGAGAGAGAGAGAGAGAGAGAGAGAG